TCCCCAGCCTCGGTTTCCTCCTCAGTCCGCAAGTGTGAAAGTTTGGGCTTCCGGGCTTCCTCGAACTCCTCTTCCCTCTCAGACACTCTGGGCTATGACTAATCCAGCCTTAGACACAGGTTCTGAAGAGGGCCTACCTCTCAGAAAGCAGATAGCATGACCTGAGATCAACCGTTGTGGGACCCAGAAGCCACAGACAGTTACCTGCGAGGGCGTGACGGCACACAAGTCACTTTAGGGTTGTCAAGAAAAGCCCAGGCTAGCCACCGTGGGGAGGGCTAAATTGATGCCTAAAAGCGAACGTGCCCTAATTTACAAGATTTCTTTCCCACTCCAGCTCTGACTCAGCACGCCAAGCTCCTCCAATCCTTGCTATGCTTCCCCGGGTCAGCAGCCCAGTGGGGCAAGCTTCCAGCTGTGGACAGAGGCAGGACTGCCAGGGGCCCGACTGCCCACTGGAGTGAAGGTGGAGAGAGGGGAAGATGCTGGGCGGGGGCTGAGCAGAGTGCAGAGGCCATTGGCCAACATCAGAGGAGAAAAATCACCCTACTGACAGCTTCATGGAAACTCCTCTAAAAATCCTACAGCTTCTTGGGCTGATGCAAGATACACATGGGCTTACTGGTTAAAGGCATCTTTTAGGCCTAGAGTCAAATCCTGCCTCTGCCCCTGCCAAGCTGTTTGGGCAAGTTAGTAAAACTCCCCAAGCCTCAGCCCTCAATTTAGCTAAAGAATTGTCTATAGAGAGGCCAGGCACAGTGGCTCATGCCTGTATTCCCAGTACTTTAGGAAGCCAAGGTGGGTGGATCACCTGAGGTCAAGAGTTCGAGACCAGCCTGCCAACATGGTAAAACCCTCTCTCTACAAAAAATGAGCTGGGCTTGGTGGCGCGCACCTGTAATCTAGCTACTCAGGAGGCTGAGGCAGGAGAATTGCTTGAACCCGGGAGTTGGAGGTTGCAGTGAGCTGAGATCACGCCACTGCACTCCAACCTGGGCAACAGAGCAAGATTCTGTCTCAAAAAAAAATTAAAAAATTGCCTGTAGAATGGGGGTAACAATAAGCTCTGCTAGTGAGAGACTGTGAACATTGAATGAGGTAAAGCATATTAAAAACATAGCATTGTTCCTAGCGCACACTCACTAGGAGCTAAAACACACAACACAACCCTCCCGTGATCCCAACATAGCACTGGCAGAAGTCAGGATAAGGAAAACCACAGAATTATTGCTGCAAGGAAACTCGGAGAACTCAAATCCAACCCCTTCATCTATATCTTTTTATTTATTTATTTATATTGAAACAGAGTCTTGCTCTGTTTCCCAGGCTGAAGTACAGTGGCGTGACCTCGGCTCACTACAATATATGCCTCCCAGATCCAAGCGATCCTCCTGCCTCAGCCTCCCAAGTAGCTGGGATTACAGGTGTGTGCCACCACACCCAGCTATTTATTTTTATTTTTTTATTTTTAGTGGAGATGGAGTTTCACCATGTTGTCCAGGCTGATCCTGAACTCCTAGTCTCAAATGATCCACCCATCTTGGCCTCCCAAAGTGCTGGGATTATAAGCATGAGCCACCATGCCCTACCTCCAACCCCTTCATTTAACAGATGGTGAAGGGAAAAGGCTCAGAGAGGCTGAATAACTTATCAAAGTTTGCACAGCTAATTAGTAACAGAGCAAGGTTCAAACTCAGGTCTGCCTGACTCGAAAACACTCACCAACCCTCCACTGTACTCCAACCCAGCTGGCCATGAACGGCCCCTTTGCTAGGGTCCCCTTCCCACAGAGAGGTTTGGTCAGGGAGCCCTCTGTTAGCACCCTTCCCTACAACTAGCCTCCAGGAGCAGCACCAAATTGCCAGAGTGCCACCAAGAAAGCTCCAGGTGAGGGGGTAGGGGGCAAATGATAGAGATTCCCTAGAACTAGGAGCTGAAGGGAATAGGGTTTCAATTACCAAGCATTTGGAGGTGCTATGCAAATAGCATGCAAAACATATGCAAATGACCACAGGTTACTGATGAATCAACAATTTGAGCTTTAAAAAAAAAAGTTTGTAACTAGATCATATTATATGATGTGAATCTCTTTTCTCTCTTGGTTTTCTGCCAAGTAGAAAGAAATAAAATTTGTGGTTGACTGATCAAACCATGCCCCACTTGGTGAGGGCCAGCAGACACCTGTATCTGGGTGCCCCAGACACGCCTCACCAATGCTTGATCAGTATGACTCTGTCTGCTCAGCACCACATCTACCTTTGACTGGCATGCCAGGGCAGAAGCCTGGTGCCCAGGGACCCCTGGCAAAGAGGGGTTTCATAGACCTAGCAGCCTGCTGACTCCAGCCGCATACAGGGGACCAGAGCATAGTGTTTCTCTTGCAGGGTACTTGGGCAGTGACATGCAGGAGCCCAGAGTGGCCCAACACCTCAGCCAGGATGCCTGTTTGAGAAGCGAGGCCCCAGCAGCCTTTCCATAACTCAGGAGAAAGGCTCCTCTCCATGGGGCAGGACACTCCTGGGCACTGCTGGTGTGTGGCTGTCAAGGAGCCACACTGAGCCGGTGGGGGCATCTGTGATCAGGGCCCTGAGGCAGAAGCGGGGAGAGGTCTAGTCCACAGCAAGAAAGTGAGAGGTTAGACTTCTGGAAGGCCTGCTTGAGGCTCAACTGTGCATGCTCCGGAAACCTGGCCAATTCAATCAATGTTTGCTGAGGGTCTGTGATGTGCCGGACACTAAGCTGGGCATTCTGAAGAATTTTCGAAAACTGGTAAGAGGTGGTTACTGCCTTGAGGCATCAACATTCCACTAGAGGAGTAGGGACATGTACAGATACAACTTAAGAGCACTTTGGCACCTCCTTGGAGACGTGTTGTGTATGTGTTTGTGTGTGTGTTTCTTCGTGTGTGTGTGTTGACACCGAATGACACCTAAGAGCGTGAGTGGCAGGAGTAGGGCTTGCCTATCCAGCCGCACTTGAGCCATATGTTAATCGTGACAATAAAACTACAAATAAGACCTCCCTATGGCTTGCATATAATATATAAGGCATAGTATTAACACAAGTGCTTCGTGTATACGAGTTCATTACATCCTTCCAGTAACCATAGGGAGTAGGTACTATTGTTAATGTTCCCTTTTATAAATAAGGAAATTAAAGCTTAAAGCGGCTAAATAAGTGACTTTCCCAAGGTTGCACAGCAGAAATTCCCAACAAGGATTTGAACTCAGGCCCATGGCAGCCTCTGTGCAGGCCCCTGCCTCCACCCTCAGAGGATAGCTCCGCAGGACCCCAGCTCCAAAGCCACAGCAGGTGCCTCCTGAAGGAATAAGCCTGCCGTTCCCACCAGCACAGCCATTCCAGCCCCACAGGGCAAGTAGGGCACATTCTGTCACAGCAAAACGAGACCTTTGGCTCACATTGGCACCCACTCCGCAGACAGAATTTCTCCAGCAGCCTTCCTACAGCTAGCTGCACATCTGCATGAGCTTCCAAATGTGGCAACACTTTGTTATAATGGCCGGGCTCAGAGGCCCTGCTCTTCTAATGCACTGAGACCAGCTTTATCTCTGCAGCCCAGCAGCAACCTGGGACCAATGCCGCATGTAGACCCCTCAGTGGATGAGTCTATGGGGTTTCTGGTTGCATTCCCTTCTTCACCCCACCTGCCCTGGGAAACCTGGAGGGCGGAGGAGGTAGACAGGGCAGAGAGGCTGGCATCAAGCTGCTGGGCATGGGGGAATCAGGAAGGAAGGCAGATGATTAGATCACACTTCTCTCCCAATGAGCTTCAAGGAGACCCTCTGAGTCTTAGTTTCCCCTTTAAAAGCTCCTGCTCCACCTCCCTCACAGCAGCATGATGATAACAGGAAAAATTCATGCATGAAGAAAGGCTTTGAAAAGTTAAATGCACACAAATATAACACAAAGGGAGAAACATGGGTGCCCAGGCCTGCTCGGGCAAGGGGCCAAGAGAGGTCAGAGGCCCTATAGCCCAGAGAAGCTATGCCGGGGATAGCAGGTGCTGGACACAGCCAGAGCACCCCCAGAGAACAGGAATCTACTGGGGGCAAGAATTCAAAGAGGGGGCAAACACGCCTCATAAGAGCATCCCAGCAGGGCCAATCCCTGGAAATATGCCCAGGCACTCGCTGGCGCTTGGTAGCCCAAGGCACTGCCTGGTGATGAGATTATGGCCTGGCAGCTGGAAGCAGGGAGCCCCAACATGGACTGGACACCCACACTGAGGACTGCATCATCAGGCCACCCATCTCAGTGCTGCCTCAGAGCAGCATAAGCACCTCTGCTGTGACCAGCAAAGACATGGTTTTGCAACAGAACAGGAATATTAAGAGTAGGCACCAGCATTTTTCCCTCCTCCTGTCTATAACAGAGATCCCACAAGTGGGAGTGAGGCAAAGGTAATCAGACCATTGGGTTCAGCAGGAAAACCTTGGAAGGTACAGCTAGCTAGGGCAGAGATACCTGGTGAACAAGACAGCCAAAGTGTGCCTTCAGGAACCCTTCGGGGTCTGGCTGGAGAAGCAGCACTCCTGCCCATTGTGCTCCCCTCAGAATGTCCTCACCCCACCTGAACTCTCTTCTCTGCCTCATCCTCTTCCCTGGGACTGGCAGAGCTCAGCTCATTCCTACCCAGCACTCACTGTGACCCTGTCTTGGTGGCCCCTCCAAATCTCCCACCTCCACCCCCACCCCAGGCCTGACAGGCAACCTCAGGTTCCTTGGCTGCAGGAGCTTCAGCTCTGAGATCATGGGCACTGGCAAGTTCACAGCCCAGTCCTCCAGCCACCCATCCCCCCTCCCATTTCTCTGGCATGGCAGAGCAGAGCACAGGAAGCCTCAGTGAGGACTGGAGCACAATGGCCCAAAGAACATCTGGCTTACTTGGGGTCTTATGCTCTACCTTTTATCCTTTCTAGGTGGCCCTCAAGCCAGCCATCATGCGGTGCTGCGAGTACCTTCAGCGGCTGTGGACTCACCGGAGAGGGATCTTGACCCGGAGGTAGCGGTCCACGGCAATTGCCAGCAAAGCCAGGATGGAGCTCTGGGTGAGGATGAGGACTGGACAGGCAACCATGAGGCAGGTGTGGAAGTAGGTCTGTGGCCCAATGTTGATGAGGATGGCGAGGGGGATGACCAGGGCACCCACGGCCACATCAGCCACCGCCAGCGACACGATGAAGCAGAAAGTGGCATCCCGCAGCGCCTGGTTCACCTTCACCGCCCAGATCACCAGCACGTTCCCGGGCACAGAGACCAGGGCGATGAGCACCTCGATGCCGATGTAGGCGGCCTGGAAGGCTGAGATGGAGGGCGGCATGGCGGAAGCAGGCTGGGAACATCAGCAGACGGGCACCAAAGGGCACGAGGCAAGCACCTGTGTAGTCAGGGAAGCCTGGGATGGGGAGGCCCGTCTGGGAGGGCAGGGAGCCCAGGCTGCCCTGGAACTCCACGTAACCCGCGGAGAGGGAGACGTGTCCCACTTGGCACATGCAGTTCCTGCCCAGGGTGGAGGGGCACCCGGCCCCTTCTCTGCCTAATCTTTGTCCCTTCCCTTTATCATCCCCACAGGTTCCATTCAGCAACTTAAAATAGCAGCGCTCACTCCTCCACTAGCTTTTTTATCAGGTGTGAGGCAGCTCCCAGGGCGCGCGCCCGCGGGCGCGCGGGCGCACACACACACACACACACACACGCGCGCGCGCGCACACACGCGCACACACACACACGGGTCTCCCATGCCTGGCTCTGCCCACCCCTGTGCACAGGATGCAGGGAGCTCACCATCCTGCCTGCTGGCCGGCAGGGGTCCCAGAGGCAGTGCCCAAAGTTCCGGGCGGCAGAGCTCGGGGCCGCGCGCGGTAGGGCTGGGCTGGGTTCTGGACACCGCGCGGCAGCTCATAGTCCTCCGGCTCCCGCCGCAGCGCTCCCAGCCCGGCCTTTCAAGCAATCACATGGTGCGGCAAGGACTCAGCCCCGGACGCTTTTAAAGAGGTAGCGCCTCTGTTTCGCACCTGGGACTGGGGTGGCAGACGTGGGTCTAGGAACTGAGCCTAGGACCAGACTGGGGCGTCGCTCCCTATAACCCGGCGCGCGCGCACCTGCCCTGCGCCCACCCACTTGAGACGCGTCTGGTGCCTGGATCTTAGCAGTCCGCTGGTCCCCCTCCACCTCTGTCGGGGACCCTTGCCCATGGCCTGCCCCAAGGGGGCATTCCGGTCTCTTCTTTCAGCTCTGTCCTGCACCCTCGTTGGGGAGCCCAAGGGACGAACCGAGGCTCAGACTTACCCAAGGTCACCAAAGCTGGCAGAGCTCCCGGCTACCTGAGCTGTTTTGTCCAAGTGCCCCCACGCCTCGACGCCTTCAGCAGCCGCTCGCTCCAGGGATTCCTGGGAAAGCCAAGGCCGGCCTGTAAGGTCTAGAGGGATGGTAGTTGGCTGGAACCCGACTTGGGCGCCGGCGCCTCTGTCGCCCCCAGCGCGGGAGCTGAGTGACAATTGGGCTCCGCACACCGGGAGGGGACGGGGGCGGCGGCGGCACTCGCGGGCCCCTCCCTCCTCACCCTCCGTCTCCTCCCCCACCCCCTCCTCTTAACAAAGGAAGTAATACTGGGTGAGAAAAGCTGGAAAAATGTGAGCTTTTCGAAGGGCCTGGTGTGTGCGCCCAGCCTCGGGACTGGACAGAGGAGCAGCCTTCCTGTGTCTACTCTCTCCCTTCTCAATGCAGGACTCCTGGGAGCCCTGGTCTGGCCTCCAGCAACCCCTCACCCCTCACGGCAAATCATCTCTTCTGCAGGACTTCAGAATGCCCCCTGTGGGACCTCCCAAAGCAGTCAGTTGGTAGCCCTGGCACCCTCCCCCAATCCTAAAACCCCGCTCTCTCCATAAAACCAGTCCCTGCATCTTCTCATCCCACATTGTTTTGCAGACTCTACCCTGAGTCATTATATTCCTTTCTCATCCGTCTTTCAGAACTGCCTTTCAGCCTATTAGCAATTTCCAGTTTGCAGATGAGGATGCTGAGGCTCCTCCCGAGATCGCCTGTCAGTGTCACCGGCTCTGCGCTCCTTTTCCTTCCTTCTTCCTCTTCGTGGCACAGCGCTAAGCCATAAGGCATCCAGTTAAATCCCCTCATGTTATAGACAAAGAAGCAGGCTCAGGGAAGGAAGGGACTTCCGAAAGGTCAAAGGGCAAATCCTAACAGGACCAAAATAGGAAACGCAGACTCCTGCCTCTCTCCACTGTCCAGACCCCTCCCCTGGCCACCTTCTGCCAGTTTCGGTTTAGGCAGTCCACTGATATTAACTAATGACCAGACCCTGGAAACAGATGAATGCCTCATAGAGATCCCAACCTGAGAAATCCTTGTTTGTAGGTATTGGGCAAGGTCCTAGGAGGGCAAAGAGTCAGGCTGGGGCCCCCAATGTTATCTCGCCACAACCCAACCGGGCCTCTGGAGGCCCTTCCCCCTCACTGGATCACAGAATGCAAGGAAAAGGGTTCTGCCAGAGGAGGGTGAGTATGTCGCCTCTGCTGGGGGCTGCACTGAATCACCCTGAGGAATGAGGTGGGACCTGGAACCTGGGTAGCTTGGAGGCAGGGAGGAAGGGCAGGTGAGTCTTCTGAGGAGGCGGGAAAAGTCCTCTGTGGGGAAAGATAACTTTCATTTCTGCCTTTAGGGGGAGCAAGGAATCAGTGCCTCAGGCAACAAAATTATGTTCCTTCCCTAGAAGCTACTTGGAGGAATTAGGAAGTGTAAACTCTCCTTCCTCCTCATCCCCCTCCACTTCCCCTGCTGACTTTGTCAACACACCCAGCAGCACCTGACATTCTGCCCGCTTCGCCTGCCAGCCAGACATGAAGGTCTTTTCCACCATCCCTTGCCTCTCCGCCCTTCCCTTGGCTTAAGCCATTTTTGGCTCAAGGCTTTGTCTCTCAGTTTACACTCAGCTTCCCAATGGTCACTCATCTAGATGTCAGAAGAGCCTGCGAAGACCCAGATGGACCCAGCTTGGGGGTGGGGGTGGGTGAGTGGGGTCTTCCCCTCTAACCATGGGCAGCATCTTCAGCTCTGAAGGGCACCTGAACACCCACCCCCACCACACACATACACTCCCTCCTCCAGTTTGCTGACATGTAGTGGATGCATTTGCATAATGCATTTAGGTAATTTGTTTGTTTCTCAGTTCTGGGCAAAATAAGCCAAAATCTTCTTCCCCTCTCTTCTACGTCCTTCCACCCCTGCCTGTTCCCAGGCCTCAGGGATTAGACCAGCCTATTTGACAGCAGAACTGGGCAAGGCAGGGTCTATTCCAGAGGGCTGCCTTGGGAGAAGCACATGGTCTCCTCAGTCCTCTGGCTTGAAACGGAGGTCGGGGTGTTGGTGCTGGGATGGTCTGTGCAGCGGGGCCGTTTGGTGCGGTGAAAAGAGGATTTGACCAAGAGTCAGAAGAGCTGGAGCTTGCTTCTAGTCTCTACTCTGCCACTCACTGTCTGTGTGACCTCAAGCAGGTCACTTTTCCTCTACTGGACTCAGTTTACCCATCTTACACCAACAGCTGGTAAGTCCATTCCAGGGTGGGAGAGACTGGCTGAGATGGAGACCACAGAACTCGGTCCTTCCACCTGGAAACCTTCTAAGTCCCGGCTCCCCCATGATGCGCAGATACCAGGGCTGAGAGGAGGGGAAATTTGTGATGGAGGCACGTAGAGGGAGAGGCGAGGTCACAGGTCTATAACCAGGAAAGGACAATGAGGAAGGCTGTAGGCAAACAGGTGGAGCCAGAACTCTCTGGCTTTCACAATGTGTCCAGGACACATTTTGACAATGACCCTCCCCACACGAGGGTCCCCTCACACACTGCGACCATGCAACCCTCCAAGCTTCACCTGTCTTCGACAGCTGAGCCTTGGCTTCCCCACCCATAACATCGGTGCAGGAATACACCTCGGGGTAGGATGGTTATGAGACCGTAATGAGCTGGCTTTTGGAAAGCACCTAGCACTGATATTTTATCAAAAAGGCAAGCAGGCAGCACCAGGCCAGCGAGGCGTGGGGGTGGAAAGGGAAAGAGAAAGAGTGCAAAATTATGAAATCTGCCCTGCGCAGCCAGGGATGCTCATGTTGGTACCAAATCCCACGGGTACCAAGTTGAGGTGCCCTCCAAGGTGCCCAATGCAAAGCTTCTGTTTTACATGTGATCCGGGGGTGAGATAATTCCACAGTAAGTGTAAAGATCCCCTAGGGTCCTTTCACCTCTTGGTCCTACTTCTTTCCTTCCTAAGCCCCTGTCATGGGTTTCTCCACTGGCCCCTTGCACCTGCAGCCTCCTCACTGTGGGCAGGGGTGGGTGGGGGAGATGGAGGGCTGCAGGGGAGGGACTCCTGGGTGAGGGGAACTTTGCTGAGCAGCCCTGCTCTCTTCTCCGTGGAACTCTCCAAATTGGACTCCCCAAGTCAGGAAGGACTGCCCACGGAGGATGAAGTATCCCAGCATACCTCTCGGGAGCCCAGAACAGAAGGCAAAAGGTAGGGGCTGTCAAAGCTTGGCTCAGCCCTGTGGGGAGAGCTTGGGAATTGGAGGAGGTTTTAGAATTTTCCTGTCCTTTCCAGCAGGCAGAAGGATATTTTGGTCCTTGTCTTGTTTTTCCAGCATTGCTCTGCCCAGTGCGTGCACAAGGAGGAGAACTGTTGGATAAGAGCAGGCGGTTGGAACAAAAAGGTTTCTGGGTGTCAGGAAAGACCTTAGCCCTTCCTTTGAGGGCCCATAACCATGGCTGTCTGCCCCTGCAGTGACTTCCTGGAAGTCCCTTCCTCTCCTTTTCTACCACCCTCCTTCTGCTCAGATTTGCAGTCTGAGTCTCTCTGCTTCCTTCTCCCTCCTTCCAGCTCACTTCTCCCCAGTCGGGACTTCTCTGGGCCAGATACTGGGCCTACGAGAAGAACACAGCCTGCCTGTTTCCCTGTGTGTTTGTGAGGGGGATGCGGGCATGGGGTAGGTCAAGGCCATTTAGTTCCTGTTCCTCCAGACAGCATGGAATTTTTCCTACCTCCTAAAGCAAGGCTGTCGTTCACATTTCTTTCCTAACCTCATCACCATTCATTCATTTATTCTGTTGGGTAAACATTTCTTGAGCCCCTTTCATGTATCGGACAGTGAGTTGAGCATTGGAGGTAGAGGTGAAGGAAATCCATAGTGTCTCCCGCAGTCTCCAGAGAGTTCACACTGAGGTGGGGACGGCACGAAGGACCCCCAATACACAGTCCCTCCAGTGAGGATCAGGACATGTTTTCTGGGTCTTGATACACTGAGGACCCCTTAGGGCTCCACAGAGGAGCCTCAGGTCTTCTGAGGCAGGGAAGGAGGGTAAGGTCTTGGGGACTCTGTTTTAGATGAGGCAGCTCTGGTTATTTCATATATGGCTTCCTGGTAGAAGACTTTCTTTGAACATAAGATTTTATTAGCTTTGTGGCTCAAAAAAAAAAAAAAAAAAGTGAAAATCTGAGCTTTAACCCAAACCCTCCAGATAAGGAAACTGAGACCCAGAGAAGGAATGAACTTGACCATACCCACAGAGCCATCAGGAGCAGGGCTTGGTGCCCAGGAGGGTCCCGGAAGTAAGCCTCCTTTTGAACCCGGGTCCCACCTATTCCTCAGGGAATCCCTAGAGAATCCCTCAAGCACCAGCGCTTGAATCTTAGAACCTGATCAGCGAGGGTTCTGGGCTTTCACACCCTCCCCACCTTACAGCAGGGGAGGCAATGTTAGGTGGACACACATGTATATAATTATAAAAGCCCCTCACAGGTGCACAGAAGTTTCATGATTATAAAAGAATTCCATTCAAGCTCATTCTTGTTGCTGTAATAAAAA